TTGTTTAGATTGTTTGGCGGATGAATGCTAAGTTGTAATTCATAATTCTTCATGCCAGCAATGGCAATACTTTTTATTAACGAGGTAAGAAAGGGTACCTCAAATTTCAAGAATTAAATTCATTTATAAATAGATTTTATTTTATAAGTCAAGTTTAGAGTTTAATTTTTAAATTTAGTACTCAACAAAATTCATTTTCTCAATCCAGTTATATGGCAGATCTTTGGGGACGTAATGAAGGTTTGCGCCTAGCCTCCGAACTTGGAATCACTCGTCTATCACTAGAAATGGACTCTTTGTTGGTAGTGCAAATGAGTCAATCTAGGAAGGAGGTTGAGGGTCTTGCCTCAGTCCTATTTTCAGATATTTTTAATCTTTTGACACATTCAGATTATGTAATAATCAAACATACTCTGCGAGAAGGCAATTATGGAGCAGAGTACATGGCTTCTCTTGGCCAAACTTTGCCATAGAGCACAACCATCTTTTGCAAGTCCATCTGGCATCAGCACCATTCTGCGAGTAGACATTATGGGAACTTTGTTCCATGGGTTTTAGTTGATTATCTAGCTTCTTATGTAACCAATATATATATATGTATTGATTTTGATGGTGAACGTTGGAGTATTGCTTTTATTTTCATAAATAAAAATTTACCTTGTGCTGAAAAATGAAAAAAATTCTGTTTTCTAGGGAAGCAAAAGTTACAGCCCAGAGCTAGTCCTCTTAGGGCCTCCTCTAACGTCAAATACTCATATTCGGCTAACTTGGGCTAACTTGCTTACTCTAAACTATTCATGGGACTGTTATAAAAAATAAGAAAACTTTGAAGCATAATTTTTTTTTTTTTTTAAGAATTCAAAAATCTTTCATAACATAATAAAATTTAAAAACTCTCTTAAAATTAAATGTACAATTTGAACTCCGTGAATGAATTTATATTGGCAAAATGGATCACAATTGAAGAGATATTTGCCCATAGAAAGGTATGAGCTAAAGGAATGTATACCTCTAAAAAGACATTATTTTAAATAATTGTCTTTTAACTACCAAAAATTATATCTAAAGTTTAAACACGTCACTTCAACTTAAATTTTATAAATTTAAAAATAAGAAATTAATTAAAAATAAATTTTTTTATAACAACTCAAAGCCCTAAGATGCCTATACCCAGCCAAACGATAACATAAATGGGCAAGCATAAGCTCAAAACCCACAAACCATTTGTCAAATTTTTCATAATTATTTATAAGCAGAGATTAAGTATATATAAATTCATTTATTTTCTATTATTTCTAAATATGGGATTTTAATAATTCTAAATTATTCAAGAGAGACAAATTGAGGTGACGCTATTCCCGAACTCCCAACAGGTTCCACTCTACATAGAAATGGCGTCTCTTTTCTTTACTTTCAATTTTGTTATGATTATTTTTTATTTCCTTTCTTTTATGCTCAGATTAATTTATCTCCGTTTGGTTTATGTATACGATTTTTTTTTTTTATAGGGAAACGTCATTACATTGAGAATGAGTTGGCCTTTTTTTAATTTTTTGTAATATGTAAATTCTTATTCCCAATAACAAGTGTACAAAGCAGCACCAATAATAAAGGCTGTTATCAGATCAGACGCGTGCAAAAAAATGAACAAATAATCAACAAATAGAAATCAATTCTAAATTATAGTTCCGATCCCCCGCTGTAATGCAGTTGGGCTTAGATCTATTTGTTAAAAACTTAGTGATTGATGCTTCATAATTTAAAAGTCGGCGGTTTAGATTGCATCAAATGGCAGTTCTTTTTTTTCAGATTGTTTTCTTGCTTTCGTACCGAGCTTAACTAGTTAAACCTATACAGTATAATTTTTTTTTAACGTACCATCAAAACACTACTAGAATAAGTATTTTTTTTTTGGACGAAAAAATATTTTTATAAAAAAAATTTAATTCGATCAAGTATTTTGATTGAAATATGATTTAGTCTAATTAAAAGGTATTTAATATAATAATTTTGTCTCAAATTATTTCTATCAAATATATTGACGAAAATAAAAATTGCCAATCAGTGCCATTATTATTTTGGTCAAATATTTTATCTAAATTATATTAATAATAAAATAGTAAGCATTTCAGTAAAAAATTTTGATCAAATAAATTAAGTATTTTTTGTTTTAATTAAGTTTTATTTTTGGTGAAAAATTTTGATCGAAATAACTCTCTTTTTTTTAAAATAAAATTATATTAGTATGGCACTTTCTTTTCTAAAATTTTTTAATTTTCTATGAAAACTATTTTCAACTAGATGCTTGACTAAAATTATATTGTTTGACCCCAAGAATCAAGTGAAAATTCTTGAGTTTTCTGCCAAAATTATTTCAATCCAAATTCTTATACGAAATTAGATGTTTTGGTTCCACAAATCAAGTGAAACATTTTTAATTTTTTGCCAAAACTATTTCAATTAAAATTATTGTTCAAAATTAGATTTTTTTGGCTCTAAAATCATGTAAAATATCTTGAATTTTCTACCAAAACTATTTCGGTCAAAATTTTTTACTGAAATAGTTTAAACTCTATAAAAAATATTTCGGGCACTTCAAAATGTATTTTACCCATTGAAAAATGATACATACACCTTATAAAATTACACACTCCATTACACACTGATAATTTTCATTACTTGTACTATTTAATTTGACAGTTTTCGTTACTTGTGCCATTAACATTAATGGTTTCTATTATTTATGCCGTTAAAATTGATAGTTTCCGTTACACACCAACGGAAACCATCATGTGTAACGAAATGTGTAATTGTGCAAAGTATATGTATCATTGTCCTTACCCATTTCCATTTCCTCCTTCTTTCTTTCTGCTTTTCCCTTCATTTCACCTTCCACACTCATCTTTCTCATCTTTC